CTTTGTCCTTCATGGAGTTGATTGAGTTGAGAACCTTCATGGTTCCGAGTCACACTTCTCGTTTCTCATCGTCTTGTTTTGGCTCCTCATCTTTGGTTATGGCGAGGAGAGCATTGATCTTGCTCTTCTTCGGGCATTTTTGGGTCCAATGAGGATCGTTGCAAATGAAGCATGAGGACGGCGGTGGAGTCTTGAACTTGTTCTTGTAGTCCCCTTGGGGTTGATTCCACTTCGGATCGCTTTGCTTGGACGATCCTTCTCCCCATGACTTCTCCTTCCCCCATGGTCTCTTCGGCCATGGTTGTGATCACTATCTAAGTCCTTTCGGTCACGGACAGCTTGGTCTTCTTCTTCGTTTTGGTGGCGATCCGATCTCTACCCGTTCCCTCTCGACTTTGGGGTCTTCTTGGTGAAGTCGGCGAGAGACTTGGCAACAACTAGCGCCTTCGAGAGGCTTCGGACGTCCCTTTGCTTGAGCTTGAGTAGTGCCCACGGCTTCAATCCATCCATGAATGCCCCGAGAGCCTCCTCCTCTCCAAGGTTAGGAATTTGGAGCTTGAGTTTGGTGAATTCCTTCACATACTCTCGGACCGTGCCTCATTGCTCAAGGCAATGGAGCTTGCTACGGGCTTCTTGTTGAGCAAACTCGGGGAAGAAATAATCCCGAAACTCCTCTACAAACCCATCCCAAGTATTGATGGGATCGGCGCCTCGCTTCATGTCGTTATATCTATTACGCCACCAAAGTGTTGCATTATCACTAAGGAACATTGAAGCGGTTCGTACCTTGGCCAATTTTTCTTGGATTTCAATGGCATCGAAGTATTGCTCCATGCTTCAAAGGAAGTTATCCACCTCTTTGGCGGACCAGTTGCCTTTGAAATCCTTTGGTTTTGCCATGTCCAACTTGTGTGCCGCTTGAATGGGCAAGACAGCGTTCGCGATGCTTACTTTGCATAGGATGAGCTCGGTTTTGAGCTCTTGCACCTCCATCTTCAAGGCTTTGACTTCGGCCTTGGAAGAGTTGCCTTCTTTGAGCTCTACGACTTCAAGCTTTAGGGCCTCGATTGATGCTTGGAGGGTTTCATCCTTCTTGTACAAAGGAGCCGTCGCATGATTGACGACGTTTGTGAATTCGTGGCGGAGAGTTCCTTTGACCTCATTGATCTGCCCCTTAACTTCGTCTAGTTCCTTGATGAACTCCAACATTGTTGTCCTCATTCTCATGACCTTCTCATCGACCGCGGCCATGGCGTTCGACGAGGCATCCCTTCTCTAAGATTTTGCACGAGACTTTCCTTGGGCAACCGGTTCATCAAGAGCCCATTCATCCACAACAACCGAAGCGAGTTGATCTTGGCTCGACATTCTCTCAACCAGTTGGTGTGCTCCTTGATCTCCTTGGACGGACTCTCTACTTACTCTGATACCATTTATCACGGGTTGATAGTTTGGGAACGACCCGTGCGGCGACTTAGGCTTCCTTGGATCGATGGAATGCCTAGTCCAAGCCTTTACTTGATCCCTCACTCTCTCACTCGGATCGTATAGAGAAAATCTAGAGATAGAAGCTCTGGAAGAGAATGGAAATTGCTTGGATGATGAAAATGAGAAGGAGGGCACCTTTTTATATAATAGAGGGCCTCAGATTACATCTGTTGATCGACTATCAATCTAGTGGCTGATATCGCATCATCTTACACGTCAACTATATGCATTTATGGATACGGCGCAATGACCATATCGCCGGTCGTTGGGGGTGTTCTAGAAGCTCAATTAGGGTTTGAACTAGTCTTTGTTGATGTTGCACGGTCCTTGGTGCATGAAAACCTCTTGACCGTGACACTTGCGCTTGTATTTTGTATCTGAAAACCTTAAAATTGGATTGCTATTTTTTCTTTTCTTTCAAGTCATTTATTCTTCTTCACAATTCTATTTTCCTGTTTACCTCATTTGCCCTGCTTTGATCTATTTCGGGAGAAGAACACTAGAAGTGCCAAAACTTGTGTACGGTGCTAACTTTAGTGTCAAAAATTTGTTTCGGATCACTTAAGTGCCAAAATCGGAGAAACACGATCACTTAAGTGCTAACGGCGAGAAATTTCGGCTAAATTAATACGTGGCTTTTTTAATTAAAATTTTAATCTACGTGACATTTCCACGTGTATATTTCGAATTTCTCAGTCCTACGTGGTATTTCCACGTGTAAATTTGGAATTTTTAATTATTTTTTGATTTTTTTTTTCTGTTTTTTCCTTCTTTTCTTTTTTTCTTTTTTTTTCCTCTTCTTCTTCATTTGGCCGGTGACCGGACATCGACCACCGGCCATGGCCAGCTGCCTGGCCTCGCTCGAACGAGGCTGCCGTCGCCCGCCACGGGCGAGGCCTGGCTGACCTTTGCCTGGGTGAGGGCGGGCGAGCCCCGGGGAGGCGAGGCCGGCCCTTGCCCAGAGCCACGGTGGCCTCGCCGGTCGCCTTCCCTCGGGCGACGCCAGGCGAGGCGCCGTGGGCTCGCGGGCGAGGCCGGCCTCGCCTCGCTGGGCCTCGCCTCGCCGGGCAAGGGCGAGCCCCGGCGAGGCGAGGCCGTCCTCGCCCAGGCCACGGTGGCCTCGCCGGGGTCGCCTTCCCGGGCGACGCCCGCGAGGCCGCCGTGGCTCGGGCGAGGCCGGCCTCGGCTCGACGATCTAGCGAGGGCCGGCCTCGCCTCGGCCCAGGCCTCGCCTCGCACAGGCAGGCGAGCCCCGGCGAGGCGAGGCCGGCCTCGCCCGAGCCACGGCGGCCTCGCCGGGGTCGCCTTCCCGTGGCGACGCCCGGGATGCCACCGTGGCTGGGCGAGGCCCGGCCTCGCCTCGCCGGATTTGGCGAGGGCCGGCCTCGCCTCGGCCGGGCCTCGCCTCGCACGGGCAAGGGCGAGCCCCGCGAGGCGAGGCCGGCCTCGCCCGAGCCATGGCGGCCTTGCCGGGGGTTGCCTTCCCCCGAGCGACGCCCGGCGATGCCACCGTGGCCTGGGCGAGGCCAGGCGGCCGGCCATGGCCGGTGTCCGGTCATCGGCCAAACGAAGAAGAAGAAGAAGAAAGAAAAGAAAAAAAGAAAAAAGGAAAAAACAGGAAAAAAATCATAAAAAATTTTAAAATTTTAAAATTTTAAAATATTATTAAATATTATTCTCGTCAGCGCCGACGTGCCATGTAGGACTGAGAAATTAATAAAATATGGCCACGTCAGATTTCCGGCGACCCAAATCAGAGTTGGCACTTAAGTGATCGTTTTTTAAAAAAAAGTGGCACTTAAGTGATCCGAAACAAACTTTTGTCACTAAAGTAAGCGCCGTATATAAGTTTTGGCACTTCTAGTGTTCTTCACCCGATCTATTTCATAGTTAGATAGTTTCTCCTCTTTCTACCTGGCTTTTGTTGCCAGTGGTTCTCTTGGAGATTTGATTGCCACTACACAACTAATTGCTGCTCCGCTAAAGATTTCCTTCTGTTATTGCCTCTGGTTTTTACTTGTTTTTTCGCATTATTGCCTATGACCTCAATATGTTATTGAACTCGCACCATGCTTGTGCTATGCATGTCAAAATGCAACTTGGGGCAAGCTTTAATACGTCGGAGTAGTTTCGTACCATAGCTCTCCTACAATTTAGGCATATATTGGACATTGATATTTCCACCCCTTGCAGTAGTTTCTAGCTTCATCTTTATTGTTTCCTTTCAGTATTGTAGGTGGTGGAGGAGCAACTTGCTTTGATGACCAGAAACAAAAACTTTTCTACTTTGGAGGAGCTTGGAGGGGAGCATGTTTCATACTTTTTGTTGAGAAAAATGTGGCATCTTGCCTTGGAATTTAAAGTCATATGTGTTGCATCCCAACAATTACTATTTGTCGTTATATCCCATTTCTATTAAGAAAAATGTAGCTTTCTAATAACTAGTCTCTTGTATTCTTTTTGGTGAATGACAAGCTTGTTTAGTATTGTTGCCTATATTTTCTTTTTGTTTGACTAAAAGTGAAAAAAAAAGAACCTGTTAGACTTTAGAATCGACCCTATAACCTGTGACAGGGTAGGTTCCACGTTCTACGTTCTACGTTCTGACGGGTAGGTTCCAGGTTCCAGATTCCAAAAAATGAGGAACCTGTACCTGAGAGTAGTTTTCGAGTTCCAAGTGGAACTTGTGAGGAACCTGAAACCGCTCATCCCTACACGACACCCGGACTTGGGTCCATCAAGACAAGGACTAAGACCTCGGTACCTGTGCTTGGGTCCTTGACACATGAGCTCAAGACCCCAGTGCCCGCGCTAGGTTCCCCTAGGTCTATTAAGGCCGAGCTGGGGATTGGGTCCCCGGCTCTTGGGCCCGGGCCCAAGACCCCTATGCCCATGGCCAAGTCCCTGGACCAAATCGCTAGCGCCCGAGCCTGAGTCACCAGGACCTAGGCTCGAGTCCATCAAGGCCGAACCCGACTAGTGCTTGTGCCTGGTTCCCCCGATACCCTTGTGCAAGTCACTATCACCCAAATATTGTATATTTACATAGGAAAATCAAATCAAATTTTCTTTCCAAACGATAGAAAATATTTTTCGATTTTTTCAGATTTCAAATAAACTCCGTAAATATTGTCATTTTCTTGAAAAATGACTTTCTAAAAAAATATTTTCTAGAAATGTAATATTTTTCGCGAAATAAACGGAACAATATGACTGGTCACATTCGTAAATATAGGAATCGCCAATTAATAGTTGATCTTGATTTGACATTTTCACAAGACTTGGGATGGAAGTGCCATGAAATTGATTTGGAATATTAAGAGGCGGTGACTAGTCGACGGAAGGAGCTAAATTCGACATATAAAAGATTAGAATTGTAAAAAAGATTTAAGGGTTAAAATTGAACTCCTAGGAAACCTCATGGGACAAAAAGTGTAATTTATCAAAAACGAGGGACTGCCACGCAAAAACGGAATATTTGGATATGAGCTTTCGCATTCGGGATTTTTGGTGAACACCCTGCTCTTCTCCACCGGTGAGCTCGTACGAGTTTCCATGGCGGAAGTAGAGTTCCATCTCCCCAACTGAAGTGGACTTATCTTCTTCAGCGCCGCATAGTTTCGATCTCGACACCAACCTGGGATTCGGTTGGTGGGTCGGAACTGGAGATGGCGGCGGCCGTGAGAGCGCTGAAGTTGCTGACGCTGTCGTGTCCTTCCGCGCTCAAACCTCCCCAGCCTTCGTGGGTGTGTTGTGGGTTGATTCCGCTTCGCTCGTCGACCCTCGAATGGCGGTCCCGTTGCGCCGGAGCCCGTTTCTTGAGGAGCAGCAGCAGCAAGAGCGACGCGTCGGTTCAGGAGACGGCGGCGAAGAAGAAGAAGAAGAAGAAGGGGAAGGGGGAGGGGGAGGGGGACGGTGGGAACGGGAGAGGAGCTACGGCGATGGAGGCGTTGGTGAAGCGGAGGACGCGTTCGTCGAGGGAGCTCGACGACGAGACGGTCCAGCAGTTGCTCGGCGTCAGCAGCCACATACCGGTGCTGCTCGGCGAGGTGCTGGATGTCTTCTCGGGCCCGAAGCTCCGGTCTTTCGCTGATTGCACTCTCGGCGCCGCCGGCCATTCTTCCGCTGTCAGTATGCATATGTTTATTACGCGTTGGTGCTGTTAGTTCAATTTGTTCTTTTTTGAGCAAAACTCGCTTGTGGTTTACATAGAAGTTTGTGGGAAGATGGATACTTGGGGTCTGTGTGATGTTGAACTTATTGGCAGGTTATTTGACATGGAAAGTGACATCTGCTTGTATTCAAGATTTCCAACCTGGATTTTGTTAATGGGTTTTGGACCCTCTTTAGAACAGTTTATCTATGCTTCATACTCTTTTTTGTAGTGAGTAGTTTAGCAGATAGGGAAGAGCTAGAGAACAAATTATGGGGAAGGAGAGATCCTTGGTGATCAGCTAAATGGAAATCTCTTTCAAAAAATGATGAATGACTGCAGTGTTGGCAAACTAGCGTAGAATTGCTGATGCTGAATTTAGCAGCTGAGTCAGCTGCTTTATTGCTTTTACCAACCATAAGATATTCCATCCACCTTCAGTCTTTGAGGCTCAGCAATAAGAAATGATTACCTTTCTTGAGAAGCTTAATAACACCTCTTTTGCTCAATAATCAGCATCATGAATGGATTTTGGACACTGCTTGTGATATGAGCAAGCAATCATCAGCATTGTAGTAGCAGCAGCATACATAAAATCGGTGGGTTCCTTAATGTCCATGTTGCATTTGAAATTACTTTCTGTTAAGGTTCTTGAATATCTTATTCCATTATCTAATGAGGATGATTATCTGTACTCATAAATAGTGAGAGCAAATGGATTCCTTTTATTTTCATGCTAGAATAAATTTATTTTGTTTATTCTCTCAGATTATAATTCACTTCTTGTAGTGGGAAGTTGCAATTCCGTCTCCTCACATAGAAGCTTCATATAGGTTCTAAGGGAACAAACATCTTCTGGATGCATCTATTCTGCTCTCAAAATGGGCTCAGATTCAAATAATTTATTTCATGTGTAGTACTCATATTCTTATGTTCTGAATGAATAAAATGTGTGCCGCTTTTCTCATGAACTTGTTCTGTTGGAGATGGCTTTCACTGATTCTAGGATTTTTTTCTGTACTATTGCTTTAAGGAGACGTCTAATTTTTTTTTTTAATCATGCTATGATATCTTAACTGATGTTTGTTTTGCAGGCTAAGTCAGGCGGAAGTCATCCTGACTCGAAGGAACTCCTAGAGGCTCCTGCTTCTGCAAAAAAAAGTTCGGGCAAGAAAGTGCGAAATTCTAAACAAAAATCTGTGAAGACTTCTGTTGAGCCAATGGGAGAAAAGAAAGATCAAGCAATCAACAAAGTGAGTTCGCCAAGTCAGAGGATTTTGAAGTCTTTTTATCCTCCTGAGGGGAGATCTGTTGTGGTTGTAGAATCTGTTACAAAAGCAAAGGTTATTCAAGGCTATCTTGGTGATATGTTTGAAGTTATTCCAAGCTATGGCCATGTAAGGGACTTGGCAGCACGATCAGGATCTGTTCGTCCTGATGATGACTTTAGTATGGTCTGGGAGGTGCCATCTGCTGCTTGGACCCATCTGAAGAGTATCAAGGTTGCCCTAAGCGGGTATTGATTTCTGTCCCACTTACTTCTTCATGAGAAATCTCAGTGAAAATACTAGTGTTTTGCTTAGGGGACTTTTCAGGAGCTCAGTGAATAGTTCATGAACTTGATTCAACCGGATTTTAGTCTACCAAAATAATAAAGTATCTATCTATGAATATGAAAACCATGCCAGTGTGAGTAGGTTATGTGTTAATGTTTATTATCCGCGACATCTGTCAATGTGTAAAAGGAAAATAATTTGGTGTTTAACTATGCTTCTGAATACTTTCTTCCTGTCTTGGTTCTCAGAGCAGATAATCTAATTCTAGCTTCAGATCCTGATCGTGAGGGCGAGGCTATTGCTTGGCACATCATTGAGATGTTGCAGCAGCAGGATGCTTTACGTGATGACATGACTATAGCAAGAGTTGTTTTTCATGAGATAACTGAATCATCCATCAAGGCTGCTCTGAAGGCACCAAGAGAAATAGATGCAAACTTGGTGCATGCTTACCTTGCACGCCGTGCTCTAGATTATCTGATTGGTTTTAATATTTCTCCTATATTATGGAGGAAACTACCAGGTTGCCAGTCAGCCGGGCGAGTCCAATCTGCTGCTTTAGCACTTGTTTGTGATCGAGAAATGGAAATTGACCAGTTTGTTCCACAAGAGTACTGGAGTTTGGAGGTTGACTTTGAGAGAAGAAGTTTGGATCCTTCCCTAAAATCCATTTCTATCCCATCCCGCTTGACATATTTTGCTTCGACAAAATTGAACCAGTTGTCAGTTGGCTCCTATATAGAGGCAAAAGATATTGAAGAGAAGATTAGATCTGAAGGTTTCAAAATTGTTGCCTCTAAAAGTAACGAGATGAGAAGGAATCCTCCGACACCTTACATCACGTCGACTCTTCAGCAAGATGCTGCCAATAAATTACATTTTCCAGCCACATACACTATGAAGGTTTGTTTCTTAAAATGCTGATGACCTTCTCAACCGATGCCTGCATAATTTGACCAGCAAAAACAGTTTTTGAAAGTTAAGAAGCATGCGTTTTACTTCCAAGTGCATAAATTTTAAGCCTAGTTTGGGGAAATGATGCTGTGGATAGTAATACATGTGGAAGGGTTCAGCTGTTTGCTTGCCTGAGTGTCCGAGAGATTGATTTTGAAGGCTAATATGTTTTCGCATCCATGAAACACTAAAGTGTGATCCCTGCTGAAGACTCTCTTAGAGTACACGACTTGTCACTCTTTGGCTGGCTGCCAAACCACATGAGCTATTTTATAGGTCGTGCAAAAGTTGCTAAAGAAGGTAGACGGCCCGGTCTGACCGAGCCTTTACACATGAGTGACAGCAGAAGTGCGGGGAGAATTGATTTTTGTTCTTTCTTTTTCCATTTTTTACTTTATTGTTTGTATCTCTTCTTCTATTCAATCTCATTTTACTTTACAAGCTGGCACTTATATTATCAGATTTTAGCATTTTGCTCATCTATATTCTAAGAGAATTATGCTAAAAAAATGAAGTCTCATGAATTTGAATTTTGAATCTAACTTAAAGTTAATCTTTTTCATTTTTTTAATTGAAGTTATGTATAATGAGATTCTCTCTCTCTTTCCCTCCGACTGCAGTATTTTTATCGGACTAATGATTTTAGAGAAGACATATTATTCTTCTTGTTTTACAAAGTCCTAATATCACTCTGAACATTCTATTATTGATAACCATATTCACCAATAAGAAAATGAATTTGGCTAATAAAAGATAACACTTTTACTAAACGAACATTTTCTATCTCATAATATGTAGTTTTTGTAGACATTTATTATCGAGTGCCACAACTAAGTTGGAATTTCATTTTCAAGTGTTTGTCATCGATAATGTTTTGTTATTTTAAAAAACTTTATGATTTGAGAGTATGTGTGATTTTTTCCCTAACTCTAGAAGTCCAAAACTCTACTTCGCCTATTGGTTGGTTAAAAGTGAAAATAGAAACAGAATGAGTTTGTTCTTAAATAACAAAATGATTGGAGCTGCTTTAATCATGGTATTCACATTAGTTCTTGAATGCAGCTTGCACAAAAGCTTTACGAAGGGGTACAGTTATCAGATGGCAAGGCAGTTGGTTTGATAACATACATCAGAACTGATGGTTTACATGTAGGTGCTGTTCTTTCTGTAAGATTGTCATGAAGTTAATTGGTTGCTTTTACATACTCTAGTGCCAACACTGTTGTTCTTTGAAATTACTTGTTGATATTTACTGACAGTTACGTTCAGCCCCTTTTAGCAGGTAAGCACTCGACCCATAGTGTGGACTTTTTATATTGGTTGCTTACGTAAATGTTGAAAGTGACATATTTGAAAAACAAAAGTGACATCTTCAGAGACTTAATGATGTGTTATTCTGGGGAAGTGAAGGAGATAGGATCGGTTATTTTTTCATGGCAATGATAATGTGCACTGATGTTGGGGTGAAGTGTTGGAACATCCTCGTACTTTGTCATTTGTAACTTTTGATCCCCCTAAACTTTCTTTCTGGTAGTGTTGTTGCCGGTTCTATTTTAGACTGCTTATGGCTCTGTTGGGCTAAGCTGGGTTATAGTGAGGTCTGTTGAGCATGAATTATGGGCATGGCAAGGTATTCAAATATCTTATCATAAAGTGGGTCTCTTCAATTCCTCTTTCTATGGTTTTGGTTGGTCGGAGAAGAATGGAAAAGATGTCTTTTGAAGGAAAAAAGTGTCTTCTATCCAGGCACTTGTTGGACATTGGTTTGAAGTTCCACACTTTTTGTACAGTGCGGAAGGTTCTTCCATCCTTGGCTCAACATTGAGCTCTTATTTTGGCTTTGAGATCTTTGTTTACTTGGGTTGGCACCCCTTGCTGCCTCATAGTGGATTTGATGTCTTGACAGTTTTTTTGGATTATCATACTTGTGCTGGTTTGTGCATTTGTGTTGCCCTTCCTGAAATAAAAGTCCTTGTACTTTTACATACAAGTTTTTGATATGTTTCTAGCTAGATTTTTATTCTTTTGCAAAACTGGGAAAGCTGTATGTCATCGAAGCTTGGCCTGTGAATAAGTTTTGGTTCCAATGGGATAATCCATGTTGAGTTTTTGTGACGTTGTGGCTTTCATCTCCTGTTTAGAAAGGGAAAAAGAGGAGGGTAGGTGTTTCATGGAAAGGCCATCAAGGGGGTGCTGATCCGTTTGAGGAAATTAATTTTAAGAGGGTGTCAAAATATATATATTCAAAAGTGGGACTGGAGATTTACTTGGGAATTTTATTACTTTTTTATTTTCTTTTCATTGCAAAAGACTTGCATCTTCTAGAGAGGCAAATGTCTTCCCCCCAACCAAAATCTTACTTGCTACATGGTATCAAATTTAGTTATTCTCCCAACTGAAGTCATGTTCTCACGTTTCAAATTCGAAACTCAGCTTATATAGAACTTCTGCGCCCTGGAGATACCATTTTAATGGACCTTGTGCAATATTTTGTGCTTAGCTGTTTTACATTTATTCTTGTCTTGATTCAAGTTTGAACTGTTAAGGAGCTTGTGCTTCAGGTTGTAATATTTCAGTCAATTGGCATCTGCACTCCCTTTGTTCTAGTGATTTGGCATTGTCTAGTTTATTTGCTTATCTTTGTGATAAATTGTTCTTTCTTTGGGGTCAGATTCTGACAATTTGCTCTGACAGTACCTTTTTTGAGTTTGTTTTAGATATCTGAGGAGGCTGTGAAGGATATACGCTCTTTGGTGATTGACAGGTAAGATGATGATTTTTGCATTTAGAATATTTGAAAGGTTGGATCTTGCATGTGCAGTCTTCATTATTACTTATTATAGGTGAAAGCTGGTTTTCTACCATTTATCTTGTTAAAAGTTTAACGGGGAATTTCATTTGAGTTTCAAGTCCTTGAATAACTGTCTTGTGTGAAGTATTTTCAAGGTTCCTTATTTCTATTGCATTAGCTGGATTTTGATTTGTTTTCTTGACTTCTTATTTTTGGAGGGAAGGGTTTAAATTAGGTTAGTTTTTATTTCTTATACATAGTATAATCGAAGGGATGGAGAGTGTCTAAGCTTTATGTGGTTGACTTTGTGCGAAAAGTTTTTCTAAGGTTTGAAAACGTGTTTCATTTCCTCTCAATTTGGTTATTTAGATGCTGCTGCAAATATAGTCAGTCTGAATTTGCAAATGCTGATGTTGTCACCCTACAGTCGATTTCACTCATATCAAGGTCCACTTTTCAAACAATTGGCTAAAAATTTGCATCTTTGTCAAAGAGTGTATTGCACATGGAAGACATTTTACCAAGCATATGTCTGCGGGAGTTAAAGGGAAGTTATAAATGAGCCATCCGAGTGTTGATGCCTTTTCTAATGTGTTTTACACTGATACAGGTTCCTGGGTTGCTTTTGAACCGGATATCTGTTTGGGGCTTGTTAGCTAGCTCTTTAATTTTATGACTCTTTTTGATTTCTAAGAGAGTGGCTTATTGGCTTTTGTGTGAGTCACACTAATGTTCAACCACCTGTGATATGAGGTTCTATCACATGGTTCTATCACACGGCATAGTGGTCATTTCACTGTTTTGAGGTTATTACCTTTTCTTTTATACATAATGTAGGAAGAATAATGATGTATATTTTATTGATCAGAAAATACGGTATATATACACATCAAAATCCCAAAGACCATTATACCCTTTAACACTCCCCCTCAAGCTGGAGCATGGATATCAAGCATTCCCAGCTTGTTACAAATATACTCAATCCTACTTCCCCCTAGAGATTTGGTAAAAATATCAGCTAGTTGTTCACCGGTCCTAACATGACTAGTAGAAATAACTCTAGCTTGAAGTTTCTCACGGACAAAGTGGCAATCAACTTCGATATGCTTGGTACGCTCATGGAAAACTGGATTTGAGGCAATATGGATAGCTGCTCGATTATCACACCACAACTCCATTGGCGCAGGGTCTTCAAATCCAAGTTCAACTAATAATTGACGCATCCAAACTAGCTCACAGGTAGCTTGAGCCATAGCTCTGTATTCTGATTCTGCACTTGATCTAGCCACAACACTTTGCTTCTTACTCTTCCAAGATACTAGGTTTCCTCCTACAAAGGTACAATACCCTGATGTAGACCTCCTATCTATAGGAGATCTTGCCCAATCAGCATCTGAGAAGGCTTCCACCCTTCTGTGACCATGATCCTGATAAATGAGACCACGACCGGGAGCTTTCTTCAAGTATCTCAAAATTTTGATTACAGCAGCCCAATGTGAGGTACGGGGAGAAGACATAAACTGACTCACAACACTCACTGGAAAAGAAACATCAGGTCGAGTGATAGTCAGATAATTTAGCTTTCCAACAAGTCTTCGATACCTCTGCGGATCATCCAACAGCTCACCATCTTCTGCTGTCAATTTAGAGCCCACTTCCATTGGTGTATCCAGTGGTTTAGCACCTAGCATACCTGTCTCTGTAAGCAAATCCAGAACATATTTTCGTTGTGAGATATAAATACCTTTCTTCGCCCGTGCTACTTCGATACCCGAGAAATATCTAAGAAGACCCAAATCCTTTGTATGAAACTGCTGTTGCAAATACCTTTTCAACTCTTTAATCCCTGTAGAATCATCTCCAGTTATGACAATATCATCCACATAAACTACAAGGAATATCCGACCAGCTCCAGAAACTCGATAAAACATAGAATAATCTCCAGTACATCTACACAACCCAAACTGGAGTACCGCCTCAGTAAACTTCCCAAACCAGGCTGTGGAGACTGCTTTCAAGCCATATAAAGATTTGTTTAAGCGACAAACATGACCGGACTCCCCGAGCAACAAACCCCGGTGGTTGCTCTATATACACCTCTTCCTGTAAATCTCCATGAAGAAAGGCATTCTTTACATCGAGCTGAAATAGAGGCCAACAAGCAGACGCAGCCAAAGAAAACAAAAGACGAACGGAGGTCATCTTAGCCACCGGAGAAAAAGTATCACCATAATCAACCCCATAAGCCTGTGCATACCCTTTAGCAACCAGTCTAGCTTTGAGACGAGCAAGAGAACCATCAGGGTTAACTTTAACAGTATATACCCACTTACATCCAATGGCTGTTTTCCCTGCAGGCAAAGGAACAAGATCCCAAGTCTGATTTTGGTCCAGTGCCTGTAATTCCTCTTCCATAGCTGCCCTCCAGCCTGGACTAGATAATGCTTCAGCAACAGTTTTAGGAATAGGATGATTATCAATGGTCATTAGACTAGCTCGACAAGAAGCAGATAAACCAGAATATGAGACAAACTGGGCAATAGGGTGTTTGGTACAACTACGAACTCCTTTGCGATGAGCAATAGGAATATCGAGATCAGTATGTGACCGACTTACCTCAGGTTGAGAAGACGAAGTAGATGGGATAGGCTGAGGTACATCTGCAGGGGGCTCCACATGCTGACGAGGACGTCGACTATAAACATACTGGACAGGTGGAGGAATAACTGGAGAGTCCGAAGTGGGTGTTGATTCCATAATAACATATGTTAAGGAATCATCATCCACTGTAGGAGTCTTCATCGAATTATCAAAATAGACAGTAGACTCGAAAAAGGAAACATCTGCAGTGGTGAAGTACTTATGCAAAGAAGGACAATAACAACGGTAACCTTTCTGTGTACGAGAATACCCAACAAAAATGCATTTAAGGGATCGAGGATCAAATTTGGAAAGTCCTGGACGATGGTCACGAGTATAACAAACACAACCAAATATACGAGGTGGCAAATGAAACAAAGGGTCAGAAGGAAAAAGAAGAGAGTGAGGAATGGCACCCTTAAGAACAGAGGACGGCATGCGATTGATAAGATAACATGCTGTCATAACAGCATTAGCCCAAAAGGATTTATCTACCTTCATTTCAAACATCAAACAACGAGTAATTTCTAACAAGTGACGGTTCTTCCTTTCGGCTACACCGTTTTGTTGTGGTGTATCCGAACAAGAAGATTGATGAAGAATGCACCGTTGGGACATGAATTCAGAGAATGTTCTAGAAAAATACTCCTTGGCATTATCACTTCTAAGAATGCAAACAGAAGCAGAAAATTGAGTATGTACTTCATTAACAAACGCACAAAAAATAGAGAATAATTCAGAACGACTTTTCATTAGATATAGCCAAGTGGCTCTTGAATAGTCATCTACAAAAGTCACGAAGTACTTGAAACCCAACTTTGAAGCAGTAGGACATGGACCCCAAACATCAGAATGAACTAAAGAAAACGGCCGAGAAGCCTGTTTATTGACTCTTGGACTATAACTAATACGATGCAATTTTCCAAACTGACACGACTCACACTCAAAACTAGATAAAGAATGAAACCGAGAATCAATTTTCTTCAAACTTGCTAAAGAGGGATGTCCCAAGCGACAGTGAACTTGATGTGGAGAAACTGCTAAACAAGCTACACTGGTAGCATTATCAAACACATATAGTCCCCCTGACATATGTCCTTTACCAATCTTCTTCTTCGTCTTCAAATCCTGAAAAACACAGGAATCAGGATAGAAGGTTATAGAACAGTTATATTCTTTGGTAAGATGACCAACATACATAAGGTTAAATGGAAAATTTGGGAGGTACATGACAGAGGATAAAGATATGGAGGATGTCAGTGGTACGGTGCCTATCCCTTTTACTGTGGACAGAGAGCCATCAGCTAATGTAACACTAGACAAAGACTCGTGAAAGACAGAAAAGATACCTGAAGATCCAGTCATATGATCGGTAGCACCTGAATCAATGACCCAGGGGCGAGAGGTAGAGGAAAGACATGCTGTTGCATTACCTGTCTGAGCAAAAGTAGCTGTGGAAGAGGAAATTGGCGAGGAAATTGGCTGAGAAATCTGGAACTGATTGTACCTAGCAAGTTCCTCTTCTGACATTCTAATCAGTGTTCCTCCTTCAGAAGACTGCGAAGAAACACCCAACTCTACTGCATTGGCTACATTAGCGGCAGTACGAATGAGGGGCTTTCCATGAAGCTTATAGCAAAAACGCTGAATATGTCCAGGCATACCACAATAATGACATGTTCGTGCAGTCCCAGATTACTCCCTTTGTCACTAGAGATGCTACCATATGACCGTGATTGGCCTCTATTGAATCCACGGCCACTACCACCACTATTAAAGCCACGGCCACTACGACCACCACCACGACCTTGACCACCACCTCGATTTCCTTGGATTGCCAAGGCAGAACTATCACCTATGGGGAATATATCCTTAGATGACTCACGTGAAACCCTTAAGACCCGAGAAAAGGTCTCCGTTAGTGAAGGCACAGTATTTCCTCCAAGAATTTGTGAACGAACTGCATCGAACTCTGGTCCAAGTGCTCCCAAAAATCCCATAACAGCCAATTGTTCTCGTTGCTCCTGCATCGTCTTAACATCAGAGGTAATTGGCAAAAGATGATTAAACTCCTCATACATTTGTTTAAAATCAGCAAAAAATTGAGTAAGAGACCGATTCTTTCTGTCACTCTAAAGAAATCTTGGGAGATTTCATAGATCCTTGAGAAATTATTTTCCCCGAATAAAGGACATTCAAGTAATCCCACAAATCCTTAACAGTAGTGGCATGTGTAACTAAGGCAGCCACGTGAGATTCCATAGAATTCCACATTTGCCCAAGAATTCTGGCATCTATGGTATCCCATTTAGTATCAGCAGCAGTTCGTGCACTGTCAAACGGTGATTTTGCTCTCTTCCGGTCAATACTATCACCACAATTCTCTTCCAATGCTGAAAGTTGGTGATCCCAGCTAATTTTTCCTCGCTCAAACGATTAGAAGATGTAGATACGACTTGATCAATACTCCTTTGTTCTTATCTCGCCATAATCACTCACACTAAACCGAAACAAAACTCCACAACCTATCACAACAACTTCAAAATGATCGACCAAATCCGAACCAATCAACACATCGGTTCGACCGGTAATTATACGCAACAGTTAGCCCCCTCTCTCAATCTACATGTATAGCACTACACGTAATCGCCAATTAGCCAAACCAACATCACATCCAATCATCCAAACCAACATACACGCGATAATCTCCCTTCCCTCAAGCATACGCAACCAAGTCAAACTTTAGAACACATTCACCTCCTCCTTCTTCTTCTTCTTCTTCTTCTTCTTCTTCAATTCCACTTCAATCAGCAGCCATCGAAGGGGTCGTTTTTAGGGTTTAGGCTCTGATACCATGTAGGAAGAATAATGATGTATATTTTATTGATCAGAAAATACGGTATATATACACATCAAAATCCCAAAAACCATTATACCCTTTAACACATAAAAAGTTCAATGATAAGGCACTAAGGGGGTGCAAACCCTCATACAAAAAGCCCAAAAAACTAAAGCCGTATGCAGAATAGTTCTCCAAAGTGTATAACTTTAAGCTATATGCAAAACAGTTGTCAAAATAAATCATGAGCTATATCGACAAAGGAATTTACATCCTTTTGCAATTACCCGCTATACCAAAGGTGTACAACTTTCAAGCCAATTTTCAATAACAAAAGAAATGGAAGATTCCTCTCCATCTAAAGCTCTCTTGTTCCACGCCTTCCAAAATCAACCAAAAAACAGAGGGAGAGGAATTGAAATAATACCTCTTTTCTTGTTGCACTGTAAACAAATGCCCTGCCAAGCCCAAAGTTTGCTCGATGGAACCTCAAATAACTCAACTTAACCCTGTGCAAGCATAGGAAATTGTCCAGACCATTCTCGTCCAAACCATTATCTAAAGTAAGGATTCTTCTCAAGTTGCTTCCCAAGAGAAAAAAAAAACCAACAAAGGGAAACTCTGTCCAGAACCCTCACTTTCCAAATTGCTTTCCAAGGACAATCCATTGTACCACTGCCGACCTCCCTATCTAGCAGCTTGTAGTAAGACTTTACAGAAAAGATTCAATCTCTTTCATTGTTCCACACCAAAGCATCCTTACCATTTGGAGATTAATATATTGTACCATGCAATTGGTTCTGAGAAAGTATTAAAGTATATGATGCTGGAGGAATTTAGGAAGTAATGCACATGTGTGTGTCAGCAATTTGACCGTCCGCTAAATTGTTTGATGTTCCAATGAATGGCGTGTAGTTAAAACGTCAAGTTGACTCTTGATATTGTGAAATAAAACTATGAAATTAATGAAAACCACGAAGATAGCAGGTCTAATATGCTTAAATTGCTTTGTAATGTAGGTATGGGTCAGATTTTGCAGCAGAGGCTGCACGCAAGTACTTTAAGAAGGTGAAGAATGCTCAAGAAGCTCATGAAGCAATTAGACCAACTGATATCCGGAGGTTGCCATGTAATGTTACCAACTTTCCAAGACTTATTGACTAATGTGTTACAGATTGAGGCATGCTATTAATGTTCTTTTATTGTCTTGTAGCATCGCTAGTTAATATACTTGATGAAGATTCTTTGAAGTTGTACACTCTTATCTGGTCTCGTACTATCGCATGCCAAATGGAACCTGCTGTAATTAATCAGGTAAGGATATGATAAGCTTCACGAGTTTCTACTATGGAGCTTTTCTTTCCTTCTCTCTTTCTCCCCAATTAGTGAAGGCCTTTTCTGTTTGTTCAAGCACGAGAATGCAGTAGCTTTGTCCTATTTAATTCCAAAAATGCCCTAAGAAAAATCCAAAAGTTACAAAGAAGGAAAAGCCCTGGAATAGGTTGCGAAGGGTTATCAATGTGTTCCCATGGTCTCTTCCTTGGATGAAAATTTTTAGGATGAAGTGTATCTGATAATTTTCTCTAACATCCCTTTGCTGACAAGTGGAATGCATGCTTGGTCAATGTTGATAATCATGGTTAAGAGAAGTTGCTATAGCGACTCAAGTTAAATTCAGTACCATTTGTAAACTTTTACTCTAAATTTGTTCTGGATGAGAGAGTACTAAACCTCAGTTCTGGAAATTTAGGAGTAATAAACCATAAATCAATTAGTTATGGAAATGGAAGAGGTTCTATGCTTCCCCAGTCAACATTATGAATTAGATTTGAAGCATGTTCAACTATAACAGTGTTCTCAGTTTTTGTTGCTTTTATCAACTATGTCGGTACCTGCTTTTATCTTGTTCATAAAGGTCGTTGACTCAAGGACTAAAGTCTTCTTCTAATCCAGATTCATGTGGAGATTAAGAATGCTGATGGGTCTATTGTGTTGAATACTTCAAGCTCGAAAATTGAATTTCTTGGTTACCAGGCAGTTTTCAAGGTATAAAATCTTTATCAGCATGTTTGTGCTCAGTACACTTGTGTCATGGCTTCTATGTTAAAAATGTGTGAAATTCCAAGCAGCTCATTGCTGTGAGTGCCATTTGAGTTTGTCATGGTAAAGTATCATTATTTCAGATTGTTATTAGTCTCTTTCTCTTAGTTGCCTAATGTTTGGGCCGTAGCTATTTGCTCACTTCTTGTTCACCATTTGACAAAGTCGCAACACCTTTGCACCCGTCGGTACACCTCTTTGTATCACTTTTGATACGAGGTTTTTGTGTTCGGCTTCTCTTTGTAAGTCACGCGTTGAAAAGTTTATATACTACTTACCTTACCGAAAAAAAAAAAAAAACAAGCATGCTTATCAAATGTAAGAAATGGTACTTGTAATTTCCGAAAGACCAACAAGCTTATTTGGGAATTTGATGAGGAATAACATTCATATTGAGGATGTTCAAATAGATATAGAGGTGCACTCAAGAGTATCTGTGGATTCATGGTTTTTAGTGCGAGAAAAAGTAAAATTGAACCTACTTTGAGTGAGGGAGTCTTGCTGGATTTTACAAGTGGTTAAAATAGAATCTAAAAGTGTTTCTCCCGAATTGGAAGCTGACTGAAATCTTAAATGAAGATAACCATGTGGAGACTCGCAGTGTAAGCAAACATTTATAATTAAATGTTATCCTACTTCCATGTGTATTAACCAGTTTCTTTGCCAGTATTCTGACTTATCATAACAGGCATTTATAGATGATTAATGGAGAAAAAAGGACAAGGAGTATAGTTTTTTATCGGTTTATATATCTCAATGTGAATTTGGTCTATGGAACCGTGATTTTGCAGAAGAGCATCTTAGTTAGTCAGCTTCTGCACAGAAAATGTCTGAGCCGAATCCATTGTAGGAAGAAGCCTTACTTCAAACGAGAGAGCTAGATGTCAATGATAAATTTGAGTAATATTGTGTAGTTGGGAATCTGCTTATGTTTGTTTAGAAAGTTGAGTTTTAAAACGTGTTTTGACTGCATTTGCATGTTCTTTTATAGTGCAACATTTAAGTCTACAAGGTGAGTCATGTTTGAGGCTTTGTTTTCGGTGAGAGCCAATGTTTCGATTGGATCAACTCTTGTGGATGGGTATTTTTTTCTTTTGCCAAGCTACTTTTAATACTGCTGTATTTCTATTTTTAGGATGTGGAAGCGGAAACAGTGAGGTCTAAAGAAAATGAAGGGAATGAACGTGATGAAGCTTTTGAAGTACTGAGCTCTCTGAAGGTATAGAACCATCATTAAGACGATATAGAAGAATTAATGTTTGTCTTGCTAAGTAAATCCGTGTGAGGAGATGGAACTATATCAGAGTTTGTTCATGATGATCTTTTGCTTATAATTGCCAGTTTACTTTCAAGTTCTATCAAGATTTTAATGTATATTTGTTTAGTAGGTTGGAGATTTACTGACTCTCAGTGATGTGCGATCCAAGCAACACTACACTCAGCCTCCATCGCGCTACTCAGAGGGTGCATTAGTAAGTTACTGTCATTTTATCTATATAATCGAACTCTTCTAAATGGTTTCGGGTAATGTTCACGAAGTGCCTAATATCGGCAAGGACTCCATCTTCTCATGTTCGGAATGATTCTGAAAAGCTGAAGTTCATTAGAAAGATTTTATATTTGGAGGTTATTGTTTCGTTGATTTACTTGCAACATGCATCGTTGAGAAGTTTTGTTCTTTCTGTAACAGTATGTGTTTGGTGTTTTTGACGGTGTTCAGGAGGATTTAAGAGTGATATATTTATATTCATTTGGTGTTTTCCAGTTTTCACGAGGGTTTTCCCATAGAGATTGGGAGGGAGGGGTCTATATAGCTGTTATCCCTTTGACTGGATTCAGAGTAATCTTCTGGTTGAGATTAGAAAAATAGTAGCTGAGTTATGTTAAACTAGTGGCTGAGTTATGTTACTGGGGATGCTAGTTTTTGTAATTTTTTCCTTTGGATGCATTGTTCTGCATCTTTACAATCTTAAGTGTTAAAGGTTAAGAAGCTGGAAGAGCTTGGAATCGGGAGGCCGTGTACATACGCGAGCACACTGAAAGTGCTGCAGGTAAATGCCTAGAATTGCATGCAGAAGGCAGTGAATGTTCTGATATTGTGCAATTGTCATGATGGCAGATAGCATTGAGATTTGAGAATCATGAATGTGCATAGGGTGATTTTCTATGAATCTCATTTCAATATAGAAATCATCAACATGAGTGGGGTTGGGACTTTTAGTCAAACTAAATTTGTAACATGCAGTGTTTTATCCAATGATCACCTTATCTATGTCAAGATATAACCCAGGAGGCTGTTACAAATTAAAATAAGGCAGATAAAGAATGTTGCAGAGTATGCGATTTTCATTAACTTCCAAAGAAGTATATTAGCCTTTGCATGATTTTTAAATGGCAGTGTCTTTCACTGATTGAATTCTGAACATTTCTCAAAATTAACCAACAGAGAATATTGAAAATCATCTCGAGCTACTTCTTTATATTCAAGTTTTTATTTGAGTTAATGGAGGAAGACAAAGGTAGACCAGTCATCCCCTTTTGATTTCCCAAACTCCAGGCTGATCTGACTTCTTGAAACAGTGGTCCTGAATGCAATTAATGGCTCTTCTTTTTTCCATCAGGGCCTTTGGTCCTTCTGTGGTTGATGGGCTATGCTTGATGGGCTATGCTTGTCTAGCCTTCTTCCATTTATCCTGGCAGAAGCAATAAATTTTAACTGACTTTGCTATTGCACGGTATCCTTTCAAAATTGGATTTTCATAACGGCTGCAGATTTTGTCCTCATCTTACATGACTAAACTGAAAGCTGTTGAATTAATTGCAAAGCTAAAAATTACCATCTTCATTTTGGTGAATTTTGTGATCTTGTGAATCATGATGTCGCCTATGAAATATGGCGCTTCAGATTAAAGTTGTCAGGTTGCGATATTATTTGTCAGATTTGTGTGCAAAAACAAATTTGGTCAAACAGTGGTACAGCATATTCTCTGGTGTTGTATCATATGAGGAAAATATGAGTTCTCGAATCACCATGGAGTAATAGTACTCTGACGAAAAGAGCTTATAAGATGTGGTCAGTTAAATAATTCAAATGGTTGAATTGCTATCTGGTCAATAGGTCAGTTCCAGGTCTGGTCCAGTTGGACGAACACTGATCGCAGTTGTCAGCTATAAATCCTTATCATTGCTATCGTAGCAGCAAATCAATCATGCACTTTTTTTTCTGTGGTTCAGGACAGAAATTATGTGACAGTAAAAGCCCGTGTCCTACATCCTGAATTTCGTGGCCGCATGGTATGTTGCTGTTTACTGAATAAAATCATGAAAATTCTGTCTACACAGTAGTCATTGCTAAATTCAATTTCAATCATGGAAATCACTTACATAGTCATAGACTGTAAAATATGATGAGTTTCAGAAATGAATTTTGTGGACTGTTTTCTTCTGTGTTAGGTTCTTCTGAATTTTTTGAATGTGACTTTAGATGGATACAATGAGGTAAGAAAAGTAGAAACTTGGATCGTGTCGGATGTAGGAAGAAATTCCAGATAGGCCTACAGCCAGTACTAATGGTGAGGTCACAAAAGAACCATTTATTCCTTAATTATTCCTACTTGTCAGCACCTCCTCAAAATGGCTCATCTTTTGCCATAGATTGACCGCTGGATCTCTCATGTAGAAACCAGAGGGCTTCCAGTAATGGATGGAATCCTGTCAGCATACTGATGCTTGTCCACATAGCATTTTAATGATGGAGCTATCCCTTAATTTGCGGTAGTTGTGCAGATTATGCTCAGAGGTCTGGAAATTTTGAAGCTCATCTCTTGCTCTCGTTGGTGTTAGTGGGTTTGTGGTCAGTTCTATGTTGGATGAGCTATAGCCTTGAAGGACTGAGCTTTTAGTGGCTTATAAAGAATCTCGTTCCATTTCTTTTGGTTGGTTGGGGAAGAAATTTATTCAAGGGCTCTGGAGAACAAAGAAAGCTCCTTAAGCATTGATAAGGGCGAATTGCTGTGTGTTTCTTTTTGTTGGTCTTGGGTATTTGATTCAGACATCTTTCTAGACATTTAGAATCTTTTTCCTTGTTGTTGGTCTGCACTGAGGATGCATGCCCTTGGTGCTCTTGCAATAAACTGTGCCTATCTCCCAAAACAAATGAGAATAGGTTCTTAGCAACATAAGTGGAGAATAGGTTATCATGTCGTGTTGATAGATACAGTAGGATGACTCAGTACTTGTTAATGAACCTTGTCTCTGTCGCTATAGGTATGTTGACAGAGAACTAGAGAGATTTTTATTATGATGGTTGATAAAAAATTTAGTTTATTTGTCCGTAAAAGTTAAAGAAGTTGGGGGAGTGGATGAAATAGGAAACTTATGTTTGAAATTTTGCAAATAGTAACCCAAATTAGATTCTGTAAAAAAGGTGGTGGTAAAGCCTTGTCAAAAGCATTCGTTTATGCGGTGGCGAGAGAACATTGTCATTAAGTTTGCTTAAGATGACTGAAGACATAAGTGGTTACTTAAGCAAAGCTGAGTTAGAAACCACCTATAAAAAGTTTTCCAATATATGCAGTGGTGAGAGAACATTGTCATTAATATTGCTTAAGATGACCGAAGACATAAGTGGTTATTTAAGCGAAGCTGAATTAGAAAACCACTTATGAGAAGTTTTCCAATATATGGTAGGTTTATTTAAAAAAAAATCTTCCATGAGGTAATTATGGGCCTAGAGTATGCTTCCGTTTAAGACATGAATTGAGGACATGATATTATGCAGCATGTTTGTTAGGAACGGAGGAAAGAAGAAAATTAACTAAGATGATTCCTCTCCATTTTATGTCTCATTTGGAACGAAAGAAACAAGAGGGCGTTTCAAGGAGTTGAATTCTCTTGGAATTGTTTTAGAATTAATTGGTTAAACACCTTCAATTTTGGTATATTGGGAAAGTGAAATGACATACTTCTAGTTTGTTGGAATGTTAGGAGCAACATTTTTAGCCATAAATTTGTTCATGGGTGGCTTTCCTTTTGAAGCCATTCTTTATAGAGGTGATACCCCTTGGTGCCTTCTTAATGAATGGTACCTTCTTAATGAATTTTTGTGTATAATTGGAAAAAGAAAATCATGTACGTTTGTTTTTCAGGTATTAGACTATAGGAATGAACAGATTCTTTCTTTTACTATGATTTGTGTTGTGGCATGTTACTGGAATAATATTTGGAAAAGTAGGACTTCCATCTATGATGTCTGACTTGTCTGTGGTGGTTTTGGGCAGAGTAGACAGTGAACTTAAGATGTTTCAGTGAGAGGAGGAGGTTTAGCGAATGAGCTCATATCAAGAGAATAGGACTTGGGAGAAGGCCTTAGATGAAATTAGGAAGTGCTGAATTGGGACTTGTGGAATTGCAAGTACGTATTGTAGGATATAGATGGATCCCTTAAATTGTATGATAGGGGGTAAAAAGGTTTAGCAGTTGTTGTTTGATCATTAGCACATGATTTTCATTTTAAGCATTACTTTAAGTGAAGTTGAAAGCAACTTGAAATCACGGAAATGCAAAGGTGTATTATGAGTCACTTAAGAAATTGCTTCCATAGACAGCAAGTATGATTAAGTTAGAGTTTCTTGGGAAATGTGAAAGAGATCTTCTGTTACTGGGGTTTGTCATTTTTCCCCTAAAATAAGAAGTGTTTCTTTGGTCATTATCTAGACTAGGCATTTGCCAGGTCTGTAGGAGATTGTCGATGAAAGAGATTAATTGTTTTGACTTACTTGGAGATGGATCTTTTGATTCTAGTGTTGAATGAAGATTAAAATCTAATAAGAACTGGGTTTTACTATTAATCACCACTGATTTGACCGATATGCATTTGGTTATTGAATGCTGAATGTCCCAAGCTCCACAGTGACACAGGTAATCATAAGGCTTTGATAATAGTTTGTTCACTTATTTAAAGCTTCTATGTGCGGTTTATTCTGTTTTATCTTTGTACTCTGAATGTCATCAAGACGAAAAATGGGTTAGAATCTGTTTTTCTTCTTGGCTTGGCCCTCCTCAGCTGAAAGAATTGTCTATGCCTGACTTTTTATCTGTTTCTGCTTTTGATGTTTAGGTGTCAGCATTTCTTTCTCACCATTTTTCTGAGGTCACGGACTATAGCTTTACTGCTGATATGGAGACTGAGGTAAACTCTTTTAAATCATAAAATGTCTTTTCTGTCAATGATGACTCCAATTTTCGGTATGTCTGCTGATTTTGGCTGATCTTGTCTAATAAGTACCACTGTTCAGCTCGATAATGTGTCAGCTGGTTTAACAGAGTGGAAAGGTCTCCTGAAAGATTATTGGGCACGATTTAGCTCATATTGCAACCGCACTGCTACTGTTCATATTCATCAGGTATGGCTCTTTTGGTTTTTTCCCCACATGAGCCTACTAGTAATTTCATCTCAATAGAATGCTTTCAAATTGGCAGGTGGAGAAGATGTTGGAGAAGACATTTGGGGACTTTTTATTTGCTTCTCTTCGTGATAAAAGTAGGAAGTGTCCAAGGTATACGCAAACATTACTTGTTTGTGTTGATGGTCAAATGTAACAAGCATCTAGTTTTATCCTCCAAATTTGATTTACTTGAACAACTAGCTTGTCATTGGATTGACCGATCTATCTTTTTTTCTTAATTCGTCTATAGAAGCTGAACCATGACTATTGTCTGAGTTTGCAACGTATATACTGTTCTTTGAAAATGATTGGTCTAGTCGGTTGATCTGGTGGACAGTTTGTATGTGCTTTTGCTTGCTAGATGGAAATTTATGGAGTTGGTCATCTATTGGAAAAAGCTGTGGTATTTTTTGCTCATATGAAGGTGTTATGATGTCCTTTATAGTCTTTAATCTATAATCGTTGATTTTTCAGTTGTATGGAGGGCACTTTGATATTTAAAGTAAGCAGGTTTGGTGCTGGCTACTTTATAGGTTGTGATCAGCACCCTAAGTGCAAGTTAGTCTCTCTCTCTCTCTCTCTCTACTATACAGAGGTAGCAATGATTGCATGCCTATTTCATATTATCTTTTGCATCTTGCCAGTGATGGTTCTTCATGAGAACATAAGATTGGAATTCAGATGTTCTTGACCTGAATGCTGATGGATTAGACTGAATTTACTACACGATGTCTAAATTGGGCCAAAGTTATGACTTGAATGCGGATAGATCGGACCTTTTCTTTTTTGGCCAGCAGATAAGACTGTGTTGAGCATAAGATATTTTACTCAGTGTTGGCAAATTTAGATATGACTCCATTACATGACCTGAAACAGCACAGCGCAATGCGTTCAACTAGAGAAATTTCCAATGTGGCTTGGGAGGCATGACATAATGCATTTCACCAGAGCACCACATGGATGTGATAAATAAAACCTAGTTGTTTTGGTTTGTTAACAAGAATGATGCAAAGTAGAAACGAGTGTATGGCATGCCAACATGAATTATCAACCTAATATAAAAGTTGACCCAATTCAGGCTTGACAGATTTGATCTGTAATAAGATATGCTCTAGATTGTATTATTTCCGGATCTTTTCTGTTTTTAACAATGGTTGGAAATATCGATTGTCCTAATTGTAATATTTCGTTAGCGTTTCAGTGAGAGCACAAGACATTTGAGTGATGGATTGTATTTTTAACTATGCAAATTATTGTCGACATTAGGACGTTTGACCTATTATTGAGCATGACGTGCCATCATGATCAAATAAGCTTGTAAAACGCGTTTCTTCCAGATTTGTCAACTAGTAATCCTTCATTGTGTCACCTGTCTCTAGTTAGAGTTCCACTTGCTAATATTGACTGGCCTGACATCTCTATGTTCTGCTTACCTAAAAAAAATCATAACTTTCTACCTTGTAGTAGTATAGGATATAAATCTTTTCAATATATGATTGGTCAATTCACCTCAGAAATAATGTTATATCATTAAAAAAGAAATGATTGGTTGAGGTGCAAATTACTGAAAAGGATTCAACTTTTGATTCTGTTTCAAGTGATATCTCTTGGTGGTAAATTAAGTGAGTTAATTTACTTGGGGGTGGGTGGTGTTGCCAAGAGATGTACAGAAAGAGCTCAAAGCCAAAACGGACCTCTTGTACACGACAATTAATTCACATTGTTAATCAAAGCTTTTAGATCCAAAAGTTAATACCCACTCCATCAAAGAAATTAAAACTTTAACCAAACTTTTAATTACTTATTATGTGTCCAAACTAACCAAAAAGTAGGAGGAACTGAGTATCCTATGGAGACGGATTTGAGTACCCTGCCAATCCCATAGCTCTTGCTAACTGGATCCAGCTATAACCCAGCATAGCCTCATTGAGGCATAACAATTGCCAAAAGATCTCATCCAAGGATAATGAAGAAGAAGACGCGTCAAGGTATTTTTATTCCTTTTGTTCTTCTTCTCTTCTTCAGATTGTCCAAAGTAGGAATGTCTTCCCAAAAAGCTTCCTAATCAAAGAAAGCAACCAGTAGTGGAATTTTTTCTTTCCAAATAGCTTTCTAAGGAAAATTTATCCTACCACAATCGCCGGTCTTCTATTTCAGGCAGTAAAAGGATCTTACCGACAATAAGTCATCTTTGACACAATTCTAAACCATTACATATTAGAGTTGCAGTGTTTGCGAGAATCAATCAACAATTAAAGAAATCAGCAAAAGCTTCTAACTCCCAATCTCGGGCTCGTCTCGAAAAATCAATCACCCCGGAAAGCCCTCCAAGATTGAATTGGTAGCAATCCTCCACAAGTGCCTCCTTGCTCCTATTAATATGAAAAGATGCGAAACCAATCTTTACCACCATACTTTTGCTCCAGAAATCACTTTCCAATTACTTGTATAGTGAGGCTACCTTATCTTAAAATATGAACATAGTCCGCATTCTATTATCTAAATTAGGCTGTTTCATTCGTGGAAAATAAGTTGGACGTGTGGGTTATTTTTTTCTTTTGTGCTTTAACCTTTTACACTAACATTTGAAATATGATTGTTATTAATTTCTGAAGGCTTGAAACCTTAAGATCCTATAGGCTTGAAATGGGAAGTTATTTAAAATTTATTTCCTCTTTAAAATTAAAAAGAATATAAATGTGTTTTTTTCCTCATTTTGGCGGGATCAAGTTTGGAGGAAAGCAAAATAAGCATTTGCCATAAACACTTCCAAACACACCTTCTCTTTAGTGCATTAATTTTATGTATTGTCAATGTTGCACCCACTTGTACTTTCAAAGCGAAATTATGAACCAGAACTTTTACTTCCTATATAATACGGCGAATAATCCAAATGAATGCTTCAAATATATGGCAAATTAAGCCTACCCCTTGGATGCTGCTTTATTGACAACCGTTGTACTACATCCCCATCCCTGTACCAGGACCCCTAGCATACCACAATGTAGCTGACATTGATCCAATTCTAGTTAAGCATAGGTCTATTAGGATCTTATTTTGTATTGCTATTTTGATTCTTTGGTGCTAATACTAATTGAAGTATCTCAATGGTGTCAGTGATGTACTTGTATCTATTGTGGTTTTTTAGTTTGATCACATCAGTTTTTTTGCGAGAAATTCTTCTTATGATGTTTAGGATCTTTGTCTTTGATGCCTATGGAATTTACCTTTTTCAAAATCTAAAACTTACCAAATGAATGATTGAGGTGTTGTGTTGTAATTCCTTTCCTCTGCCTTTTGTTACAAGAAGAAACTCTAGTATGACAGTTAACCTGAAACAACTTGATTCAATGTGTTTTTATTATGTAAAAATAATAATTGAATACTGCAGCTAGTTTGAGGAATTCTGCATTGTTTGCTGGCATTACCATAACTTAAGATTCAAATTTCAGAAATGACTTTAATAGCTATTTTCTTAAAGTTGAGTCCTTAATCGAATCATGTACCTGAGTGTGCCCTCTTATTTATTCCCTCATAGGTAATTTTGTTGTTTTAGCTGTTTATGGATATGGAATTGTTATTGTTTTAGCTGTTTATGGATATGGAATTGTTAGCTGCTTAGCTTATTAAACGTTAAGCAGTGTTCTGTGCCCATCTCCGGCTATACAAGTGAAACTACAAGCTGAGACTTTCTCTCCACTTGTCCTGTCAATAGTAGTAAAAGGAATTCCTCTGCATCTGCTTCACCATTTGGGATTCTCATGTATGAATGCAAAAAGCACAACTAATATTGTCTTCCACTTTGTTCATTGCTGCCAATAATATTCTCTGGTTTGATATATATAGGTATATTGCTAAGACACTATACGGTGATGAAGAAGAAGAAGATGCTACTCCTCAGACTAACAACTCAATCGAAGAGCCAAAACTTCTGGGTCTTCATCCAGGTTCCAATGAAAAGGTTAGCTTGTATGTCCTTCGTTATTGATAGGTAATCGCTCAATACATTCACTTAACTTTTTTCTTCAAATCCTTTTATGCTTCTAGATTCTTCTTAAGAATGGTCCATATGGATATTATGTACAACTTGGTGAAGATAGGAAGGGGTACATTCCGAAAAGAGCCTCTATTTCTCAGGTACTATTTTTTTTTTCAAATAAATCTAATTCAAAGCTATCTTCATACTAATGTTCAAGTTTTGTAATGATTTTTTTGTTCCGATTGGTATACAGCGGTAGTTTTATCCACTGTCATTCTTTTCCATTTTCATTCTATTTTCCCCTTGGGGTAGTGGGGAATAGTTTGTTTGCATAGGCTTAGTGGAAAATGAGAGGTTAACAGTTGTGAGACAGAGAAAAGAATGTGGAAAGGGTTGATAAATTTTTTCTTAGTTGGTGCAAATATTTGTGGCTACAATCACTCATAATTAGACAGCTTGATCTCCTCGCTTGACACAGCTGAGAGCAAGCCATGATTATTCCATTCCGGTTATTATCATTCCATAGTATTTAAGAACGGCATTGTCTGTCAAGATTCACATCGAAGATGAGTCATGCAGTGGTATAATTCTAGTTATTTTGTTTTTAAGTATCTTATTTTTTATTTTTTCTTTTATTTCTTTATGAGGTCAATAAATAGTCATGTGCAGTCATTTCACTTTTAACGAGCCCCGGTGATTGAGATTAGAAGTTGTTATGTTAGATGAAGGCTTGAGATTGTCTTACATCTGTAATCCTATTATAAATAGGCCTTTAAGTCACTTTGTCACTGGTTTTTCCTCATTCAATTAACATCCTGGGTTTCTATAAACCCAAGAATTTATTTATTCCAGGTGCAGTTTGTCTCGATTCTAGCCCTTGATTTTTTTTTTGGCTTAATTGTTTGGCTGTTTTTCACTTCTCCGCTGCGGCGATGGAACAATGTCCTGATGCTCGGAATTGTCTCTTGCGCTGGGAATACCCTTATAGACATGAGGGGATTCTGATCTTGGTCACAGGATCCGTGTTGTCTTGGTCACATAGAGAGATGATGGTCACACTGAGTCATGTGCGATTAAAACTCACATGAACTTCACACTCTTTACATGGGTTATAAATGATGTTCTTTCTAGGCCTAAGTCTCCTGCCTCATATAAGCATCTAGGGCCACCCTAGTTAGCTATAGTTAAAAATTTTAAGAATTGTAAGCATAGATTAAAGGAAATGTTTTTTTTTTCCAAACAGGCCCTCAGTTTATATTACCTTCATATCTTTCTAAGACAAATGCTAAAGCAACTTAGTTGATGAATAGAAAAATAAATTAGTATCTTCAATGTACATAATATATGGAAAAAATGAAGCTAGAAATATTTATCTTAGCTTCCTTGAAAAGTAAATATTCTCTTTTTATTATCAATATGACTGTCAAGCCCCCCTTTTTCAATCATTTTCAGCTGAGTCCTGCCCTATATTTATAGAATTAGACATGTTTGCCGTGTTACCACACCTAATTCCAAATAACAGGAGCCACTATTGATTCCCATCTTGGAAAGGAGTGGCCTATTGAGTTAGTGAGCCTCTTAGTGAAAAAAATCAGCTATCTGATCCTTTGGTTTATCTGAGGCAATCAATATGTGTTTGTCATTTGCTTTTGCTTGATGAAGTGCATAGTAGTACCCTTTGCTGTATCATGTTATGACATCGAGAGCAGTATTTATTGATGCTTTATTGTGCCTGTGCTGCAAAAGTGTCATTTTGCTTGCCAGAATTTGCTCACTCGAATCACTTAACAATGATGTCCCATGTTTCCAGCTATATAACTCGGCCTCTGCACTAAATCGTGAGACTACCATCTGTTTGCTAGCTGAATTTCCAGCAAATGTACAATAGCTCGGTGTAGGCCTCCAGTCACACATTGATCCAGACCAATCAAAATTGATTAGATAGCCGTATTTGTAAGGTTATTTCGCAGGCTTGTGTACCCAGGAAATACTGATCAACATGACATGACACTGGTACCCGTCATTGTTGGACGAATCCAAATGCCCTTGGACTTGTGCTCTATGGTGAAGCCACTGGGACAAAGCTCTCTCCCATGCATTTTCTCTTTTTGAGAGAGATAGAGGTGGCAGAAGGTAAACAATAAAAACCCTAGAGTCCGAAAGAAGACTTGTTCGAGCAAACCGTTGAAATTTCCATGGCCTGGGTACTGACTACTAAGCACCAGTATGCCTGGAGTCTGTAGAACCTTGGCGCAGACAAGATTTGACCAGGACATGCAAAAGGGCTGCCCTTACAAGCCAGAATTTCACGAGCCTATAAAGTGTCAAAGGACTTCCCGATGGAAGTTAAAGTACAAATTAAATATATAGCTAACAAGAGAGGCTTTTACAGAAGGCAATATCTTAAATTGAATTGCAATTCAACTATTTGATTCAAAATTCTGTGACTGCAGAATTGAGCAAAAAATATCAAAATAAATTACCAAAATATTCATCTTACGTGATTCGAGACATTGAATCCAGCTTACATCTCTCTATTTTATAATTGCCATTGAGGTTTAAAAATCATCTTATGTTTGTGTTACTGCACATTTGACTTGGATGATAATCTAGTCGATAAGTCTGTTTGTATTTTCTTAATATGTCAGAGCTTTTCTTTTTGCTTCCTTTTAGTTTTTTGGTTGTCTTACATCAGTATGTCTGCACATAATTAGACTTCACGGCCAAATCCATACAGATATAGATGGATGTGTAATCTATGTGTTAGGACTAACTATAGTTTGTCTTCTTCAGACAAAGGAGGTGGATTCTATTACCATTGAGGATGCTCTTGAGCTGTTTCGATATCCTGTGACGTTGGTATGTCTTCATTACTGGAACATTTGTTCTTTATATTCTTAGTTACAAATATGCGCAATTTAAGTGTGATTATGCAGGGTAACCATCCGAAGGATGGGCAGCCTGTGATTTTGAAGCTTTCAAAGGTTGGATTTACCGTCAGACATAGACGCACAATGGCTTCTGTTCCTAAGGTGATCATTGTCTCTAATATACTCCTGTTGTTTGGTGATCCCAATCAATTTTCATTCTCTCTTTGCATGGGTTGCTTTCCTGGTCTTAATTAAGTCTAGCATATTATGGAGAAGCAATAAAAGCGGTGAAGAAGTCTCTGAATTGAGTATAATACTGTCAAGATTGGGAGTCTAGTGATTCATCTATTTCTGTTTCTTATATTGCGAGATGATAATATTCTTAGTGCAATATGTCAATTATTTCATATCATTAGGATGTAAGTTGCCTCCACTCTCAGAAATAAGGTTTAACTGGCTTGGAAAATTTTTTCTCCATATTTTAGAAGGTGTTGCTCCCGGCATGGGGAATCCCATGTGAGATGGATGAATCCATGGAGCCCAATAGACTCACACAATTAGGATTGCTTATGCTTCCTTTAGATCTGAGAAGTAATTTCATTCATTAACCGCATCGGCAGTATGTTCACTGAGAATAACAAAAAATACTTAGGTAAAGTTTGTTCAACAAACTGACAACCAGGCCATTGCAGAAAGTTTCCTTAGCTATGAGTTTGCCAGAAGATTGTTGCTGAAGGCGTTTGAATACGTGGAATTAATGAAGTAGCAAAGTAGCCAACCTCACTTGGTGAGGAAAAGCTCGTCATTGCTCCTCTTTTACTAGTTTTTTCATCTCAAGAACATCACGATTCCAGGGTTTCAATTTTTTCAAATGAAGGATGTTGATGATTTATCTTTTTTTGCACCTGTTTATTTTATCGGTGTATTGTGACTTACAAGTGATGCTGGACAACTACATGTCTTTCTTCTTGGTTCTCGGTAATAAGAAACAAGAAGCTTGTCTTACCTCATATCCAGAAAAGTAGTTGCTCTTTAAGAAGTGGAAATAGATTTCATGGAGTCATTTTATCTAAATTGGGCTCACATATTTGGCCAATTTTTGGGCATGTGGTTTAGCAATTACAGTCTTAGGTTATTTGGTCTCAGGTTTTATGAAGCTCATTGAAGATCTTTGCATATTTCTTTGTTGATTTATATAGCATTATTGGGTGTAATCCTGAAATGAAGTTCATAAAAGCAAGTTAAATTATATTTTCCACGCATTCATCTATGTCATTTCCTCTTCACTTGATTAAATTCAGATATTTGCTTTTTCCTTTCATCATTGAAACTTTGTTTATCTTGCTTCTGATTCATTCACCTTTTTTTGGTTTAACTGTTTGATCAAATGATAGATGATTAGATTGCTTAACGCATCATGTGAGGCAGATTTTTTGCTTTTCTATTTTTTTTCTGATGATCTTGAGTGAGATAGAGCCTTGGTAGTCCTCATTGTGGATGTTAAAAACTATGCAGAACCTCAAGCCAGCGGATGTCACTATGGAGAAAGCCTTAGAGCTATTATCAGGGAAGGATGTAAGACGCAGTGGCCGACCTAAGAATAAGCCGAAAATCGAAGAAGCTCTGGAGGTCTTTTAGCTTTGGGAAAAAGAAAATCAGAAAGAACACAAATGCATTGGTCAATCGACCCTTTCGAGAAGTTATCGTGCCGATTGGTTCCCTTCTGATCCCTTGTCATTGGTCGCGGGAGATGATGTTAGAACCGTGATGGCACCGGGGATATGTAGAAGATGAGAGAATGTGTACAGAGATGTATCCACATTTGGATATATGCATAATTGTAGGGGCTGAATTGCGGTGTCCTAGGGGCCTATTTGTGTTCAACCTTTGTAAGCGTTTGGAGACAATTAGAGACAACGGTTACAATTTTGGGTGTAGGGAAATGGGTTGACCAACAATAACACCAAATAAGAGTATACAAAAATTGATCATATAATGTTTTTGCTTCATTTACATGAGCCGTTAGATTACGTGATTCTCCTTCTATAACTATCAATTGCAGCCATTGAACTAGCGTAATGCAAAAGAACCTAGCGTAATACAAATGATCAGTATAACCATTATAATGTTGTAAGCGTTTGGATAAGTAATACAAATGATCAGTATAACCATTATAATTCAAAAGAACCTAGCGTAATAACAAACTAAACATTATAATGATTTTCATCTCATTTTCCGCGTAACATTTGTATCAATCGCTCAATTCAATGATCAGTATAACCATTCCAACATACCGAATTTAGTATCTTTTGCATTACGCTAGGGGCTGTCGGCTCCCGCTTCAGATTTTGATTTTTGATCCCAGCTCAAATAGATCGGGCCGGTTCGGTTCGGTTCCTTGTATAATTTACCTGATCATATTGTTGCCGCCCTCCACCACTTAATATGGGCAAAATGTAAGGATCTAATGGGGGGCATTCCATTTGTGAGAGAGAGAAAGAGAAGAACTCAACATGGGCTAGGACCCGATCCAAAGGCACAAAGAAAGACCGACCCGACCCGACCCGTCCCGACCATATATCTTGACAATCGGACAGTTAAGCCTAACCCTTTTGCAAGGCGCCTAAAGCCTTACGAACGACAAGTTCTTGTATCCTTAAACCCTTACCAACCAGACATTTGCCTCGACCTCGATAGCCTCTTTTCCTTTACTTCGTTGCCGTTCTTCATCATGCTTCTCCCTACGAATTCAACACGTCCGACGCTTTGCACGTCGACCCCAGTGCGTGTCGGAGGAGGAACAGTGAGAGGAGGGAGGACGGTGACAAGCCGATAGTCCAATGGTAGCGCCATTTCAATGAGTCTCGGATTAAGCGGGAGCTTATCGTCATCGGCCACCGAACCACGATTGTCTTCACTCCGCCGTCTTCGGACAACCATGACTCAGGTTCTTGCTCATCAATTTCAGCTGCCGAATTGCCGTACACAAGTTTTTGCACTTCTAGTGTTCTTCACCCCTGAAATTTCTCTACTTCAAAGATGAATTCCTCGTTTGGTGCTTAAATGTTCCTTAACTCAAATAACCACTTGCAATACAACATCATCCCATAAACCATTCCAACATACCGAATTTAGTATCTTTTGCATTACGCTAGGTGCTGTCGGCTCCCGCTTCAGACTCGGATTTCTAATCCCAGCTCAAATAGGTCGGGCCAGTTCGGCTCAGTTCCCTCTATAATTTACCTGACCATATTGTTGCCGCCCTCCACCACTTAATCCGGGCAAAATGTAGGGATCTAATGGGGGGCCTTCCATTTGTGAGAGAGAAAAAGAGAGGAACTCAACATGGGCTAGGACCCGATCCATAGGCACAAAGAAAGACTGACCCGACCCGACCCGACCCGTCCCGACCATATATCGTGACAATCGGACATTTAAGCCTAACCCTTTTGCAAGGCGCCTAAAGCCTTACGAACGACACGTTCTTTTATCTTTAAACCATCACCAATCAGACATTTGCCTCGACCTCGACAGCCTCTTTTCCTTTGCTTCGTTGCCGCTCTTCACCCTGCTTCTCCCTATGAATTCAACACGCCCGACGCTTTGCACGACGACCACAGGACCCCAGTGCGTGTCGGAGGAGGAGGAGTGAGATGAGGGGGGGGGGGGCGATGACAAGCCGATAGTCCAATAGTAGTGCCATTCCAATGAGTCTTTGATTAAGCAGGAGCTTATCGTCATAGGCCACCGACCCCCGATTGTCTTCGCTCCGCCGTCTTCGGACAACCATGGCTTAGGTTCTTGCTCATCAGTTTCAGCTGCCGAACTGCCGTACACAAGTTTTGGCACTTCTACTGTTCTTCACCCCTGAAATTTCTATACTTCAAAGATAAATTACCTATTTTGTGCTTAAATGTTCCTTAACTCAAATAACCATTTGCAACACAATGTCATCCCATAAACCATTCCAACATATCGAAATTAGTATCTTTTGCATTACACTAGGCATTGTCGGCTCCCGCTTCAGACTTTGATTTCTGATCCCAGCTCAAATAAGTCGGGCAGGTTTAGCTCAATTCCCTGTATATTTTACCTGACCATATTGTTGCCGCCCTCCACCACTTAATCTAGGCAAAATGTAAGGATCTAATGGGGGGCCTTCCATTTGTGAGAGAGAGAAAGAGAGGAACTCAACATGGGCTAGGACCCGATCCATAGGCACAAAGAAAGACCGACCCGACCCGACCCGACCCGACCCGACCCGTCCGGACCATATATCTAGACAATTGGACAGTTAAGCCTAACCCTTTTGCAAGGCGCCTAAAGCCTTACGAACGACACGTTCTTGTATCCTTAAACCCTCACCAACTAGACATTTGCCTCGACCTCGACAGCCTCTTTCCTTTGCTTCGTTGCCGCTCTTCACCCTGCTTCTCCCTACGAATTCAACAAGCCCGACGCTTTACATGTCGACCCCAGTGCGTGTCGGAGGAGGAGGAGTGAGAGGAGGGTGGGCGGTGACAAGCCGGTAGTCCAATGGTAGCGCCATTGCAATAAGTCTCCGATTAAGCAGGAGCTTATCGTCATCGGCTACCGACCCACGATTATCTTCGATCCGCCGTCTTCGAACCACAATGGCTCAGGTTCTTGCTCATAAGTTTCGGCTGCCGAATTGCTCTACACAAGTTTTGGCACTTCTAGTGTTCATCACTCCTGAAATTTCTGTACTTCAAAGATGAATTCCCCGTTTGTTGCTTAAATGTTCCTTAACACGAATAACCACTTGCAATACAACATCATATCATAAACCATTCCAACATACCGAATTTAGTATCTTTTGCATTACGCTAGGTGCTGTCTACTCCCGCTTCAGACTTGGATTTCTGATCCCAGCTCAAATAGGTCGGGCCGGTTCGGCTCAGTTCCCTATATTATTTACCTGACCATATTGTTGCCGCCCTCCACCACTTAATCGAGGCAAAATATAGGGATCTAATGGGGGGCCTTCCATTTGTGAGAAAGAGAAAAAGAGGAACTCAACATGGGCTAGGACCCGATCCATAGGCACAAAGAAAGACCGACCCGACCCATCCGGACCATATATCTTGACAATCGGACAGTTAAGCCTAACACTTTTGCAAGGCGCCTAAAGCCTTACGAACGACACGTTCTTGTATCCTTAAACCCTCACCAATCAGACATTTGCCTCGACCGCGACAGCCTCTTTTCCTTTGCTTCGTTGCCGTTCTTCACCCTACTTCTCCCTACGAATTCAACACGCCCGACGCTTTGCACGTCGACCACAGTGCGTGTCAGAAGAGGAGGAGTGATACGAGGGGAGGCGGTGACAAGCCGGTACTCCAATGGTAGCGCCATTACAATGAGTCTCCGATTAAGCAAGAGCTTATCGTAATTGGCCACCGACCCACGATTGTCTTCGCTCCGCCGTCTTCGGACAACCATGGCTCATGTTCTTGCTCATCAGTTTCAGCTACCGAATTGCCCTACACAAGTTTTGGCACTTCTAGTGTTCTTCACCGCTGAAATTTCTATTCTTCAAAGATAAATTCCCCATTTGGTGCTTAAATGTTCATTAACTCGAATAACCACTTGCAACACAACGTCATCCCATAAACCATACCAACATACCGAATTTAGTATCATTTGCATTACGCTAGTTACTATCGGCTCCCGCTTGAGACTTTGATTTCTGATCCCGGCTCAAATAGGTCGGGCCGGTTCGGCTCAGTTCCCTGTATTATTTACCTGACCATATTGTTGCCGCCCTCCACCACTTAATATGGGCAAAATGTAGGGATCTAATGGGGCCTTCCAATTGTGAGAGAGAGAAAAGCAGGAACTCAACATGGGCCAGGACCCGATCGAAAGTCACAAAGAAAGACCGACCCGACCCGTCCGGACCATATATCTTGACAATCGGACAGTTAAGCCTAACCCTTTTGCAAGGCGCCTAAAGCCTTACGAACGACACGTTCTTGTATCCGTAAACCCTCACCAACCAGACATTTGCCTCGACCTCGACAGCCTCTTTTCCTTTGCTTCGTTGCCGCTCTTCACCCTACTTCTCCCTACGAATTCAACACGCCCGACGCTTTGCACGTCGACCACAGTGCGTGTCAGAAGAGGAGGAGTGATACGAGGGGAGGCGGTGACAAGCCGGTACTCCAATGGTAGCGCCATTACAATGAGTCTCCGATTAAGCAAGAGCTTATCGTCATTGGCCACCGACCCACGATTGTCTTCGCTCCGCCGTCTTCGGACAACCATGGCTCATGTTCTTGCTCATCAGTTTCAGCTACCGAATTGCCCTACACAAGTTTTGGCACTTCTAGTGTTCTTCACCGCTGAAATTTCTATTCTTCAAAGATAAATTCCCCATTTGGTGCTTAAATGTTCATTAACTCGAATAACCACTTGCAACACAACGTCATCCCATAAACCATACCAACATACCGAATTTAGTATCATTTGCATTACGCTAGGTGCTATCGGCTCACGCTTGAGACTTTGATTTCTGATCCCGGCTCAAATAGGTCGGGCCGGTTCGGCTCAGTTCCCTGTATAATTTACCTGACCATATTGTTGCCGCCCTCCACCACTTAATATGGGCAAAATGTAGGGATCTAATGGGGCTTCCAATTGTGAGAGAGAGAAAAGCAGGAACTCAACATGGGCCAGGACCCGATCAAAAGTCACAAAGAAAGACCGACCCGACCCGTCCGGATCATATATCTTGACAATCGGACAGCTAAGCCTAACCCTTTTGCAAGGCGCCTAAAGTCTTACGAACGACACGTTCTTGTATCCTTAAACCCTCACCAACCAGACATTTGCCTCGACCTCGACAGCCTCTTTCCTTTGCTTCGTTGCCGCTCTTCACCCTGCTTCTCCTTACGAATTCAACACGCCCGACGCTTTACACGTCGACCCTAGTGCGTGTCGGAGGAGGAGGAGTGAGAGGAGGGTGGGCGGTGACAAGCCGGTAGTCCAATGGTAGCGCCATTGCAATGAGTCTCCGATTAAGCAGGAGCTTATCGTAATCGGCTACCGACCCACGATTATCTTCGCTCCGCCGTCTTCGGACCAACATGGCTCAGGTTCTTGCTCATCAGTTTCGGCTGCCGAATTGCTCTACACAAGTTTTGGCACTTCTAGTGTTCATCACTCCTGAAATTTCTATACTTCAAAGATGAATTCCCCGTTTGTTGCTTAAATGTTCCTTAACTCGAATAACCACTTGCAATACAACATCATCCCATAAACCATTCCAACATACCGAATTTAGTATCTTTTGCATTACGCTAGGTGTTGTCTACTCTCGCTTCAGACTTGGATTTCTGATCCCAGCTCAAATAGGTAGGGCCGGTTCGGCTCAGTTCCCTGTATAATTTACTTGACCATATTGTTACCGCCCTCCACCACTTAATCGAGGCAAATGTAGGGATCTAACGGGAGGCCTTCCATTTGTGAGAGAGAGAAAGAGAGGAACTCAACATGGGCTAGGACCCGATCCATAGGCACAAAGAAAGACCGATCCAACCTAACCCGACCCGTCCGGACCATATATCGTGACAATCGGACAGTTAAGCCTAACCCTTTTGCAAGACGCCTAAAGCCTTACGAACGACACGTTTTTGTATCTTTAAACCCTCACTAACCAGACATTTGCCTCGACCTCGACAGCCTTTTTCCTTTGCTTCGTTGCCTCTCTTCACCCTGCTTCTCCATACGAATTCAACACGCCCGACGCTTTGCACGTCGACCCCAGTACGTGTCGGAGGAGGAGAAGTGAGAGGAGGGGGGGCGGTGACAAGCCGGTAGTCCAATGGTAGCGCCATTGCAATGAGTCTCCGATTAAGCAGGAGCTTATCGTCATCGGGCACCAACCCACGATTGTCTTCGCTCCGCCGTCTTCGGACCACCGTGGCTTAGGTTCTTGCTCATCAGTTTCCGCTGCCGAATTGCCGTACACAAGTTTTGGCACTTCTAGTGTTCTTCACTCTTGAAATTTCTCTACTTCAAAGATGAATTCACCGTTTGATGCTTAAATGTTCCTTAACTCGAATAACCACTTACAATACAACATCATCTCATAAACCATTCCAACATACCAAATTTAGTATCTTTTGCATTACGCTAGGTGCTGTCGGCTCCCGCTTCAGACTTGGATTTCTCATCCCAGCACAAATAGGTCGGGCCGGTTCGGCTCAGTTCCCTGTACAATTTACCTGACCATATTGTTACCGCCCTCCACCACTTAATCCAGGCAAAATGTAGGGATCTAACGGGAGGCCTTCCATTTATGAGAGAGAGAAAGAGAGGAACTCAACATGGGCTAGGACTCGATCCATAGGCACAAAGAAAGACCGATCCAACCTGACCCGACCCGTCTGGACCATATATCGTGACAATCGGACAGTTAAGCCTAACCCTTTTGCAAGGGGCCTAAAGCCTTACGAACGACACGTTCTTGTATCTTTAAATCCTCACCAACCAGACATTTGCCTCGACCTCGACAGCCTTTTTTCCTTTGCTTCGTTGCCGCTCTTCACCCTGCTTCTCCCTACGAATTCAACATGCCCGACGCTTTGCACGTCGACCCCAGGACCCCAGTGCGTGTCAGAGGAGGAGGAGTGAGATGAGGAGGGGGCAATGACAAGCCGGTAGTCCAATGGTAGCGCCATTCCAATGAGTCTCCGATTAAGCAAGAGCTTATCGTCATTGGCCACCGACCCCCGATTGTCTTTGCTCCGCCGTCTTCGGACAACCATGGCTTGGGTTCTTGCTCATGAGTTTCAGCTGCCGAACTGCCGTACAAAAGTTTTGGTACTTCAAGTGTTCTTCACCCCTGAAATTTCTATACTTCAAAGATAAATTGCCTATTTGGTGCTTAAATGTTCCTTAACTCAAATAACCATTTGCAACACAATGTCATCCCATAAACCATTCCAACATACCGAAATTAGTATCTTTTGCATTACGCTAGGTATTGTCGGCTCCCGCTTCAGACTTTGATTTCTGATCCCAGCTCAAATAAGTCGGGCAGGTTTAGCTCAGTACCCTGTATATTTTACCTGACCATATTGTTGCCGCCCTCCACCACTTAATCCAGGCAAAATGTAAGGATCTAATGGGGGGCCTTCCATTTGTGAGAGAGAGAAAGAGAGGAACTCAACATGGGCTAGGAACCGATCCATAGGCACAAAGAAAGACTGACCCGACCCGACCCGTCCGGACCATATATCTTGACAATTGGATAGTTAAGCCTAACCCTTTTGCAAGGCGCCCAAAGCCTTACGAACGACACATTCTTGTATCCTTAAACCCTCACCAACCAGACATTTGCCTCGACCTCGACAGCCTCTTTCCTTTGCTTCGTTGCCGCTCTTCACCCTGCTTCTCCCTACGAATTCAACACGCCCGACGCTTTACACGTCGACCCCAGTGCGTGTCGGAGGAGGAGGAGTGAGAGGAGGGTGGGCGGCGACAAGCTGGTAGTCCAATGGTAGCGCCATTGCAATGAGTCTCCGATTAAGTAGGAGCTTATCGTCATCGGCTACCGACCCACGATTATCTTCGCTCCGCCGTCTTCGGACCACCATGGCTCAGGTTCTTGCTCATCAGTTTCGGCTGCCGAATTGCTCTACATAAGTTTTGGCACTTCTAGTGTTCATCACTCCTGAAATTTCTGTACTTCAAAGATAAATTCCCCATTTGGTGCTTAAATGTTCGTTGACTCGAATAACCACTTGCAACACAACGTCATCCCATAAACCATACCAACATACCGAAATTAGTATCATTTGCATTACGCTAGGTGCTATCGGCTCCCGCTTCAAACTTTGATTTCTGATCTCAGCTCAAATAGGTCGGGCCGGTTCGGCTCAGTTACCTGTATAATTTACCTGACCATATTATTGCCGCCCTCCACCACTTAATATGGGCAAAATGTAAGGATCTAACGGGGGGCCTTCCAATTGTGAGAGAGAGAAAGAGAGGAACTTAACATGGGCCAGGACCCGATCGAAAGGCACAACGAAAGACCGACCCGACCCGACTCGACTAGTCCGGACCATATATCTTGACAATCGGACAGTTAAGCCTAACCCTTTTGCAAGGCGCCTAAAGCCTCACGAATGACACGTTCTTGTATCCTTAAACCCTCACCAACCAGACATTTGCCTCGACCTCGACAGCCTCTTTTCCTTTGCTTCGTTGCCTCTCTTCACCCTGCTTCACCCTACGAATTCAACACGCCCGACGCTTTGCACGTCGACCCCAGTACGTGTCGGAGGAGGAGAAGTAAGAGGAGGGGGGGCGGTGACAAGCCGGTAGTCCAATGGTAGCGCCATTGCAATGAGTCTCCGATTAAGCTTGAGCTTATCGTCATCGGCCACCGACCCATGATTGTCTTCGCTCCGTCGTCTTCGGACCACCATGGCACAGGTTCTTGCTCATCAGTTTCAGCTGCCGAATTGCCATACACAAGTTTTGGCACTTCTAGTGTTCTTCACTCTAGAAATTTCTGTACTTCAAAGATGAATTCCCCGTTTGATGCTTAAATGTTCCTTAACTCGAAAAACCACTTACAAGACAATATCATCTCATAAACCATTCCAACATACCGAATTTAGTATCTTTTGCATTACGCTAGGTGCTGTCGACTCCCGCTTCAGAACTGGATTTCTGATCCCAGCTCAAATAGGTCGGGCCGGTTCGGCTCAGTTCCCTGTATAATTTACCTGACCATATTGTTACCGCCCTCCACCACTTAATCTAGGCAAAATGTAGGGATCTAACGGGAGGCCTTCCATTTGTGAGAGAGAGAAAGAGAGGAACTCAACATGGGCTAGGACTCGATCCATAGGCACAAAGAAAGACCGAGCCAACCTAACCCGACCCGTCCGGACCATATATCGTGACAATCGGACAGTTTTGACTAACCCTTTTGCAAGGCGCCTAAAGCCTTACGAACGACACGTTCTTGTATCCTTAAACCCTCACCAACTAGACATTTGCCTCGACCTCGACAGCCTCTTTTCCATTGCTTCGTTGCCGCTCTTCACCCTGCTTCTCCCTACGAATTCAACACGCCCGATGCTTTGCACGTCGACCGTAGTGCGTGTCGGAGGAAGAGGAGTGAGAGGAGGGGAGGCGGTGACAAGCCAGTAGTCCAATGGTAACGCCATTGCAATGAGTCTCCGATTGAGAAGGAGCTTATCGTCATCGGCCACCGACCCACGATTGTCTTCGCTCCGCCGTCTTCGGACAACCATGGCTCAGGTTCTTGCTCATCAGTTTCAGCTACCGAATTTCCCCACACAAGTTTTGGCACTTCTAGTGTTCTTCACCCATGAAATTTCTATACTTCAAAGATAAATTCCCCATTTGGTGCTTAAATGTTCATTAACTCGAATAAGCACTTGCAATACAACGTCATCCCATAAACCATACCAACATACCGAAATTAGTATCTTTTACATTTTGCTAGGTGCTATCCGCTCCCGCTTCAGACTTTGATTTCTGATCCCAGCTCAAATAGGTCGGGCCGGTTCAGCTCAGTTCCCTATATAATTAACCTGACCATATTGTTGCCGCCCTCCACCACTTAATATGGGCAAAATGTAGGGATCTAATGAGGGGCCTTCCAATTGTGAGAGAGAGAAAAAGAGGAACTCAACATGGGCCAGGACCCGATCCAAAGGCACAAAGAAAGAGCGACCCGGCCCGACCCGACCCGACCCGACCCGACCCGTCCGAACCATATATCTTGACAATCGTACAGTTAAGCCTAACCATTTTCCAAGGCGCCTAAAGCCTTACGAATGACACGTTCTTGTATCCTTAAACCCTCACCAACCAGACATTTGCCTCGACTTCGACAGCCTCTTTTCCTTTGTTTCGTTGCCGCTCTTCACGCTGCTTCTCCCTACGAATTCAACATGCCCGACGCTTTGCACGTTGACCGTAGTGCGTGTCGGAGGAGGAGGAGTGAGAGGAGGAGGGGCGGTGACAAGCCGGTAGTCCAATGGTAGCGCCATTGCAATGAGTCTTCGATTAAGCAGGAGCTTATCGTCATCGTCCACCGACCCACGATTGTCTTCGCTCCGCCGTCTTCGGACCACCATGGCATAGGTTCTTGGTCATCAGTTTCAGCTGCCGAATTGCCGTACACAAGTTTTGGCACTTCTAGTGTTCTTCACCCCTGAAATTTCTATACTTCAAAGATAAATTCCCCATTTGGTGCTTAAATGTTCGTTGACTCGAATAACCACTTGCAACACAACGTCATCCCATAAACCATACCAACATACCGAATTTAGTATCTTTTGCATTACGCTAGGTGCTCTCGGCTCCCGCTTCAGACTTTGATTTCTGATCCCAGCTCAAATAGGTCGGGCCGGTTCGGCTCAGTTCCCTGTATAATTTACCTGACCATATTGTTGCCGCCCTCCACCACTTAATCCGGGCAAAATGTAGGGATCTAATGGGGGGCCTTCCAATTGTGAGATAGAGAAAGAGAGGAACTCAACATGGGCCAGGACCCGATCCAAAGGCACAAAGAAAGACCGACCCGACCCAACCCGACCCGACCCGTCCCGACCATATATCTTGACAATCGGACAGTTAAGCCTAACCCTTTTACAATGCGCCTAAAGCCTTACGAACGACATATTCTTGTATCGTTAAACCCTCACCAACCAGACATTTGCCTCGACCTCGACAACCTTTTTTCCTTTGCTTCGTTGCCGCTCTTCACCCTTCTTCTCCCTACGAATTCAACACGCCCGACACTTTGCAAGTCAACCCCAGTGCGTGTCAGAGGAGGATGAGTGAGAGGAGGGGGGGCGGTGACAAGCCGGTAGTCCAATGGTAGCGCCATTGCAATGAGTCTCCGATTAAGCAGGAGCTTATCGTCATCGGCCACCGACCCACGATTGTCTTCGCTCCGCCGTCTTCGGACAACCATGGCTCAGGTTCTTGCTCATTTGTTTCATCTACCAAATTGAATTCTTGACCCCATATGAAAAAAAAAAAGGAGAGAAAACAATTTGACCTTTGTTTCGTTGATTTTTATCCCGTCAAAAATCTTTAACCGAATTGTGCGTTTCGAATTTTATTAGAGGAGACTAGGGTCTTAAATCAAGCTCGGACAGAGAATGTCAAATGTGTTTATTAAACCCAATTTATGTCTTACAACTTGACTCGATGAGACGCCAAACTCGACAATACTGACAATGAGATGAAAACTTGCAAATGTCGAGATCAAACTATATCGAGATCTGATCAGCGACACTACTAATACGACATTGCCATTCAAGGCACGCCAGAATCTAATCAATGACGTAACTTGAGGGAATATGGCTGGAATCTAATCAACAGCTATATTCTAAGCACAATGCCGGAATCTAATCGACGACGTTGTACCGGTGGTACAACATTGGAATTTAATCAACAATGCTGAACCCGATAAAGACTCTCGCCGCAATTGAATCTACTATGTGGAATCTGAAAGTTGCAATTACGACTACTCCTAATGTGCTGAAAGTAATGCTAGATAAAAGATGTGTTATGTTGTTCGTGTAGGGGTCTTTTCTACGTTGGAAATCCTTGAGTATTTATAGAGCAACCTGATAACTGTCGACCGGCCACTTTTCCTTGAAAGTCGTTTTTCACTTCCTTACATTTCGCACTTTAACCGCTTCCTGACTTATCGATGTTGCTTACGCTCCTTGGGCATCACGTAATGTAACAGCCTGAATTTCGATGTAATTCCGGGATCAATAAAATTGACAATATTTCGCATTTCATTTTAGTAAGTCTCGCCCAGAGCTGATCACTCTCGGGATACTAACCGATAGGGTATGGCTAATTAGAAAGCGGTACGTGGACCAAGGACCCGATCGCGAAGCGGACACCGATCACGAGAAATGATGAGAGAATATTATGAACCAATGTGGATCGATCTTAGGAAAGGTAACGGACTTGGTTTGGCCAAGGCCAACGATGACATCCCCGTTTGAATTGGTATCAGAGCAAGGTCAGCTCGGTCCAATCTGGTCGAACCCTGGAGTGATAAGGAGCGATGAGACCATGGGTAGCCAGTAGGGTGACCTTGTGTGCTACATGCATCTCTCGACAGCTGTGTTTGATTGAGTGCTCATCGGTATGACCCGTAAAGTGCAGGTGCGGCAGGACCTGAGGTGAATACGTGAACTCCTTGGGTGATGTGTTGATTGGCTCTTGTTAGGCCGCATGCTGGTTGTTTGATTGTTGTTTTGGTACCTGCCTAGGACTTAGACTGGGATAGAATGGTTTAAGTCTTTAATTTCTTAATGGAATTATAGCAGGTAGTGGAATAGCTGAGTCGTGAGGATGAGTAGAAGAAAGGGTAAGGAACCTCAGGGTTAGCCTAGTTCAGGAGGCCAAGAGGCCCGAGACCGCCGACTAGAGGATATCATCCAAACTCCAAGCGGGGAGAAGGGAAAGGAGCCCCAAGCCCGAGGCTAGCGAGGAGCCCGTGAGGCTAGAGATCCGAGGTTTGATGATGTGATGAATACCCTAAGGGAGATAGGGCGTGTTATGGGATTGCGGGCTCGGGAAAGGGC